TTGTGTGTGCGCTCTGCTATAAACTTAAATTTGATTTCCTTTGATACTATAGATTGCAAGAGTTTCGATTTTCTGTGTGGTTGTAAAGCAGCTGTCTTTTTTTTTTTGTTTGTTCTCGGACAAATTCCATTTCTGTATAAATCAAATCCGATTTTCTGATTTGCGGATCCACAACAACAACATCCTTCTTCTCTGGATAATTTTTTTCCGATTTAACTGTTTGCCGAGAAAAATTCTGAGGAAGATCAAGCCACTTCAAATATTTCCCGATGAATCTCCGAGGGTTGTTCAACAATAAGGAAAAAAGTTAGATGCTTTTGAACAGATAGATCAAATCTGGTTTAATTGCGATTTAATGTTTATAATTATAAATTCACTTGATTCCACGGCCATTTCACCGCCGCATTTTACGGCTTCGCCACCGTGTCTTGTTCAGAACCGAACAATACATCATTACAATTCCTATTTCTTTTTTGAAATAGAAAGAAAATAATCAAAGATCTTCAAGTATTAGCTGTCGTAATTATAATAATTTTCTTAAAAGCAACTTTCAATTTCACAATCCATCACCAAAAATTTTTTAAAAAAATTCTCGTTCCGATAAGAATCAATCTTGCAAAGTTCACTATTACACAAGAATCAAGCACACCACTACAATTTCTCTTGAAGATTCTGTGGTTGAGGTCCGAGCTTGGGACATCCATCAGCTAAAGGCAAGTCCAAGTTATCCACTGTCCTAAAAGTGCGTGGTATCATCTTATCAACATAAAGATTACCATCCAAATGATCACACTCATGCTGCAGAATCCTTGCTTGCCAACCAGAAGCATTCACTTCGATCCTTTCTCCTCGCCGATCGAATCCCGTCACTACAACTTCCAAATATCTCTCCACTACAGCTCTGAATCCATCAACACTAAGACATCCTTCAAAGAATAGAGCTTTCTTGTTGCTACTCTTCTTAAGCTCAGGATTCACCATCACCTATAAACCAAAAAATTCAAGATTTTTGTTAATTATATTTCAAACTCAACAAGCAATAATGGTTCACTAGTTATTTACCAAGAGATCAAAAGGACGCCTTTCTTGCGCAATAATCTCCTCCTTTGGTGCGTAACTAATATACTCTTTTGTATCTTCCAAAACAATAATCTGTATCACCCCATTACATAACAAAAACCAATTCAATCAAGTGCTCGATTTGTTCAGTGAAATGGGAAAGCTTTAAGGGATTTTAACTTACTCTTAAGGGAATCCCAATCTGAGGAGCAGCGAGGCCAACTCCAGGGGCCAATCTCATGACTTTAACCATATCATCGATTATCTTTTGAATACGCTCCGACCCGATTTCATCCGGGTCAACCTCTCGGGCCTTCTCGTGCAGAACCGGATCTCCAGCTGCTACTATTTCCGGTAAAGCCACTTTCTTTTTCCCTCCCATACCCAATAGCCAACCGGCTTTCGTCGCCAAC